TTAAATCCGATGTTTCTACATTTATTACTTTTTTTTTTAAGATACAAGAAAAAGTAAAAGGTTTACGAAGTCTTATTGTTGAATATTTAATTTATTTTCATGACAAAGAAAATTATTCATTCAGTTTTCGAACTCATGAAGGTGGAATCTTATTAATTAATTAATTCATTGTTTTTTTTCTTACAGATTATTTTATTTTATTTCACTTTTTTTAAGGGATTGTTCGTACCGCTCTATGGACCTAGTTAAATTATTATTTTTTTCTTTATGAATATAATTGTTGCAAACCGGATAATATTTTAAGAGTCTGTTAAAGTTTATAAGTGGATTAGTATTAGTACAAGTACTTGCCATAAGAATAATGAAAAACACAGTTTGTGAAAACAGATAAGCAACTAGTAAAACTTTGATAAATAAATAAAATGAAGGTAAATCAACAACAAATAAACAGACAAGTTCAATAATTAATTCTTGCATTTTATGTGATAAATTTGTTACTTTTGAATTCCCAGTGCAATCAAATGTTTCATGTTGTAAAGATAATCAAATGTTTTATTCTTAAATATTTTTTAAAAGAGCAAAAAGAAAAATCTAATTAATTAAAACACTTTTTCTTGAAAAAGTTTATGAATTAATTGAGCGTATTTATCTTCATCGTTATACGGAATATCATTTGTTGGAATACGTTGAATAAAAGCTCTTGCTGGACATGAATAATCAATTAAAAGATTTTGATAATTCAGGATTTTTTGGAGATTGAAAAGCAACTGTAATGTTATAAACAGCAGTTACTAAAGAAAAAACGACACATATTATATATTAAAACAAACAAAAAAAGACATACTATATTTATTCATGCTTTTCATAAGAAAGACAAAACCTTTTATTCTTAATAAAATATGATAATGTAATTCAGATAAACTTTTTTGTCAGGCTATTGCATACTTTCAAGATGTTTTTCGTTTGCACAACGAATACCTTCATGTAATAGAAATAACTATTCATTTTTTTTTGTTAAACAAAAAATAATAATTAAATTAAATTTAAATATAAACATACAGTAAAAAAATAATTTTTTGGATAATTATTAACAAATTGTTGAATATCATGTTCAAGACGTCTTTATTTGTATCCCAAATATGTCGAAGAAAAATTGATTCAGTAAAATGCCAACACGAACCAATTATTAGTAATGATCGAAGAGATTATTTTTCGAGCATTTTTGAACCCTGTAATATTACATAGTATACATAAATCAGTTGTATTATAACAAAAAAGAAAAATTTACACCAGCCAAACCTAATCATTGTGTGACAACCCACACCCACCCGAGTAACCAATCAATTTCATATCGATGAGTACCTAACCATATGGAATTTCCTTGACCCATTGTATATAAATCTTCAGGTTTTATGGCTTGTCCACGTAATGCACTACTCCAGGCATTAAGTATTCATTGCGAAGTTCGAAATGAACGTTTGTACGACGTTTTAGAAGACACTTGAAAGTGTAGAACAATATATTTTGTTATTTGAAAAACTATTTCTGTGAAATTTTAAAAATGTATACTTCAAGCACTAATTACTCTATTGTAGATTACAGTTTTTTCTATCTTACTTTGAAACTAACCGTGTACTTTGATGTTTAGTTCCGAAACCCGGCTTTCAAATGTTTTGTAAACTATCAAGTACGATCTTTCTTTTGGCAAAATAATAGACTTTTGTCCTTTCCTCCACATTAAGATATTCTCGAAATAAAACTTGATCAATTTTGCTGTAACAGCATTATGAAAAAGACCTTATTTCAAAATTCCAATGAGCTACTTACGAAATATTAGTAAACAAATTAGTGTATCAATACTAACTTTTTAAAGCGATTCTGACACACTAATTTTTTTCTGGAAAATATGACATCTTGAAGTAGATGAATGTAACGCTATTACTAAAACTTGATTTTTGGTACTACCTTCAATTTATATAATTGAGCAATAGTTTTAATATTACAATCATCAGATAGCGACTGGATAGAATTCAAATCTGATTTTGACCTTTTGTTTACTTATCTAGTGAAAAATCTCTCTAAAAGCTCCTAACTTTTGTTTATTTTCTGATGTTTCTGGGTATGATTAATTTTAGTCATAGTAGCTCATATATACTAAGGAAACGTTTTGAGCTGCCTAATCGCTCTTGAGTTTGACTCTATGCATGATGCAGAGCCCATTGAAGTATAAAAAAACTACAAAAGGATAATTGCCCTTAGGTCTCTTGTCGGGACTTATAGACGTTTTACTGCAATTTTAGCCTAGGGCATGGTATATACCAGCAAATCAAATTGCAGTATTTCGAGTGGATATTAGACCCACAGATAGATCTATTTGTGAGTAAAATGTTTTGAAAATTTCAGCTCAAAAAAGTGTTTCCTTCCTGAGATATCGAAATTCAAAAAATCACTCACATTCTATGGAAAGTACTAGAGCTTTTAGTTTTTTAGACTTAAATATCTCAGGAAGGAAGCATTTTTTGAGCTGAAATTTTCAGAACACTTTACTCATAAATAGACCCACTTGTGGGCATAATCTCGACTCGAAATGTTATAATTTGACTTTTCGGAATATACCATGTCGTAGGTTAAAATTGCAGTAAAGTGCCTGTAAGTTTGGACAGAAGACCTAAGGGCATTTATCTTTTTGAGTTTTTTCATGTCTCAATGAGTTTAACAGTATGGATAGAGTCCGAAACAAAAAGTGATTGGAGAGTTGAAAATGTTCCCTCATGAGTGTGTTTTTAACCTATAGCAACCGTACGCTTTGCTGTAGAAGGCATTTTGAGCATTATAGATATCTAAGAAGTGTCTCTAGATACTGACTCGAGTTTTAGTGGTTAGAGTCGTAGAAGCGTCAGGTTAGGAATAAAAACAAATGATTCCAATGAATCTAAGCCCAATAAAAAAGATGATATTAATTTACAAAAACAAAGGTGTAACAGCGTTACGGTTTTTTTCGGTTTTCTTAAATGAGTAAAAATAGTTACATGAAAAGTATTTTTACCTTTGAAAAGCTCATTTGATGCTCTAAAAAATTTGCTCTGGATGCATTTCATTTGGATATCGACTTTCGCAGGATATTAGAATTCAAGCAAGAGGACGCCAAACTTAGGGTCTTTTTATGTACCAGCGTTACGCGACACAAAAACCCTTTGGAAACTCGAAACATCCGCCTGGAAATTTCGTTTTTATAGCATAAATAGAACATGGTAAAATGAGTTGAATGACATTTGAAAGAACTTTTCTAGCTCTTACAATTTCCGAGATAATTGACAAGAAGTATGTCAAAAATGTAACAGCATTACGTTTGGACAAGCCGTTTATATAAAGAGTTACATCTAAATTTGATCTGAGCAATTACAAATAAGCAGAAAAAAAATTTATCTTCCTTTTTTTTGGTTAATCAATTTCAGGATAAGACTGTTTAACAAATAAAGACACGAAAAGAAATATTATATAACAAATTCTTTATATACTATCATATCTTTAGTGCATATAACATTCATATTGTGATAGAGTTTTAACTAAATTTCATTTCTCTGAATGCATTCTACTCTAAATTTTATTTTTATTAAATTTTAAGTAACTCAAGAGAAAAATTAAGTAAACGAAAAAAAAGTACTTACTACCATTGATAAACAAATGTCATTTCTAAAAATAAATTGTGATGAAATATGAATGAGAGGAAAAAAGAACTTACAACTCCATATAATGGTTGCTCAATGATAATTAATCTCTCTGTATAAAACTCGATTGAAAGACCATATAATACATAATGAAATCAATTGAAGAAACTAAAGAGAAGACCACTGACAGAAAATACATAGCCGAGAAAAAGTCGAACGAAAAAAAAATTCCTAGAGATAACGACATAATGATTGAGTGTTGGGCAATTCTCACATCTAAATCAAATCAAATAAATGAGCAAAAATATCAATACCACTAATTTCCTGAACAACAAATCTTTTTATATTTACTCAAAATCAAATAGCTACTTTCCGTCTAATCAGTCACCCTGACACTGTTGTGATTCAAGGTGAATAAAAGTATTGCACGCATTTCTGGAGTTTTCATATTTTTCTGTACGGTGGTCTTGCACAACAGACTAGGCTCGGGAAGAAGAAGAGTGAAATGTGATTGATTTCATTTTCAAACACATATCAGTGTAATGATAACGTAATAAAACTACCTCTTGCATATAGCGTCATCTAGCAATATAGTTTGATATAGAAACAATGTTCATGAAGTAGTTGGTACACTGATCTTTTCTTTGTTCTTTAACTGTTCTCTGTTCATCTTCTTTATAAAAATTTCGATTCACATATCTCGCGACATTATTTTAAGATTTTGGGATACTCTTAATTCAATATCTAAGCCGATGTGCAAAAAGCAAAATCAGAAGGACGTGGTCCATATAAAAATGATGAAAGTAGGCCTTTTTTTATGCGATTATTTTATATTCGACGACTGTTTAAAGCTCAAATTATAAGAGCATGTGAACCGTACTTCACAGTTATCTGTCCTCTCGCTTCAAATTATCCTCATTATAGTTTCTAGGAGTTAACTCCCTTTTCCTTAATATATATTAAACCCTTAATCAGATGTCTCATCTACCTCTTCAACCCATCAACTTCGCTAATCGTCAAGTAGGTGCAATTGCATGTTTT